TTTTGATTGATATTTGGTTGCTATCAAGCTGTTTTGGGGTCAGTTACTGGGTGTTTGTGTTGTTGTTGGTATTGCTAGGAATTTTAACTGTTTTTCTGAGTTTGTTATTGGTTATTTGCTACTGTTTCATTGGGTGTTGCTGGAATTCTGCTGGTTCCTTTTAAATCTGTTACTGGGTTGTTCTGTCACTGTGTTGCTGTTTGTTGTTGTTTGCTGTTTGCTACTGCTCTGCTGATCCTCCTCTTTCTTCTTCATTGTTGTAAATCCCAGGTACACGTCTCAAAACTACCTTGATGTAGCTGTTGAAATAGAAATGAGATCAGCATGTTCATGTTCTCAATGTGTCGTACACTGATGGCTAGATAAATGTTAGTTAGTGTGTATATTGTTTGAGGCAAATCAGATTTGATGTGTAATAACCTGGACTTTGAACGATATTGGACCGTTAAATTTGAATTAGAATTTGTTCATTCTGCATAGTAGTTTTAGTGTAGTGTATCTTGAATTCATGTCATAATTATTCATTACAGCTTAAAATTGGCTTTGAAATCAGAATGTAGATCATGATAATGTTAAAATCGGACCTAATAATTGATTTAGTAAGTGCAACACTTTAGTTTTGACACCAGTGATTTGAGCTTAAGATCAGGGAATAGGCACTTAAATTGGTGAAGTGTGCTTGATAGCTCAACTCAGTCGTTAATCACTCCATTGCCTTCGGAATATTGTGGTAATACATTAGTTAGGCATAACCCAAGCTTAAAATTGGAATCAAAATGATCAGTGCTTGTTAATTTGAGTAGGTATACCTTGTTCTTACTTGTTACAAAATATAGAGGGCACATGGAATAGCTTGAAGCAAATTCAGTAGTATTCGTTTTAATTGAATTAAGCTTGCTTGGTACAAAGATCAAGGCCCAACGGCCTGTTTCCGACAGTTTGAGCTTCAGCTCCTCTGACGCGGGCCCAGGTCTAGTTTTAATTCCCTTCACGTTTGGACCTGGGCCAAGGTCTGCGACTGGCCAATTCTGGGGTACAAACCTGGATGTAATTTCTCCTTGTTGGGCTTATCCTGGAGCCCAATGGCTAGATTGTGGTGCAGAATTATCATTTGGTCCAGTAACAAGTTAATTAGGACTCGTTAGTAGTGGCTCGAGGAGTCAAGTCTAGTAAATTATATATGACACAAGGCTCTATTCTTAATGACTCCATAAATCTGGTAGAAAGTGATACTTTATCAGAATTGTGGCACCGAAGACTGAGCCATATGAGCGAGATGGGGATTGCGTGTTTGGCTAAGAAAAGTTTGCTTTCTAGAGTGAAACAAGCAAAGCTGAAAAGGTGTATCCATTGTTTAGCTGGCAAACAGAAAAGAGTTTCCTTTCATAGTCATCCTCCCTCAAGAAAGCCCGATTTATTGGAGCAAGTACACTCTGATTTGTGTGGTCCTTTTAAAGTAAATTCAAAAGGTGGTGCACTTTACTTTGTGACCTTCATTGATGGTCATTCTCGTAAGCTTTGGGTGTATCCTTTGAAATTTAAAGATCAAGCACTTAGCGTGTTTAAGGAATTTCAGGTCTTAGCTGAGAGACAGATGGGGAAGAAATTAAAATGTATTCACACTGACAATGGTGGTGAATATTATGGTCCATTTGATAACAATTGCAAGGAAAAAGGAATTTGTCATTGGAAAACTCCGCCCAAGACACCTCAATTGAATGGTTTGGCAGAGGATGAATAGAACTCTAGTTGAGAGAGTTAGATGCTTACTTTCAGAGGCTAAACTTCCAAATACATTTTGGGCGGAAGCACTTAACACGGCTGCCTATGTTATCAATTTGTCTCCTACAGTTGCTTTGGATGGTGATGTCCCAGACAAAGTTTGGTTTGCAAAAGATGTTTCTTATGATCACCTGAGAGTTGCTGGGTGTAAAGCTTGTGTGCATGTTCCTAAAGATGAGAGATCAAGACTAGATGTCAAAACTAAGTAGTGCATCTTTATCGGTTATGGTCAAGATGAGTTTGAGTATCGTTTTTATGATCCAATTGACAAAAAAATTATTAGAAGTCACGATGCAATATTCTTTGAAGACCAAACTATTGAAGATATTGACAAAGCTGAGAAGATAGATTCTCAAAGTAATGAGAGCTTAGTTGATATTGATCCAGTTTCAATTGCTAATGCACCTATTGTACATGAAGGAACCCAAGACAATGATGGAGATAGTGATCAAGATCAAAATGATCATCATGGTATAGATGTAATGGATGCTCCAGTTGATGAAATTGTGGTTGATCAACAACCAATTCCTACACAGGTAACTACTTCGAATGCTCCTGAAACCTCTCTTAGAAGATCTACAAGGGAGAAGAAAAAATTCATGCGCTATGCTCCTAAAGAGTATGTACTTTTGACTGACATGAGAGAACCTGAGAATTATGATGAAGCCATGCAAGATACTCACAAAGATCAGTGGATCGAAGCGATGGAAGATGAGATGAAGTCTCTCTATGAGAATGACACATATGAGTTAGTGAAATTGCCGAAAGGTAAGAGAGCTTTATCTAACAAATGGATATTCAGAATAAAGCAAGATAACCTTACCTCTGCGTCTAGATACAAGGCGAGGTTAGTTGTTAAAGGTTTTGTCCAGAAGAAAGAAGTTGACTTTGATGAAATTTTCTCCCCTGTTGTGAATATGTCTTCTATTCGTGTGGTTCTAGGCTTAGGCACAAGTCTAGATTTAGAGGTTGAGCAGATGGATGTCAAGACTGCTTTTCTTCATGGTGATTTAGATGAGGAGATTTATATGGAGCAACCTGAGGGATTTGTAACTAAGGGAAAAGAAAATTATGTCTGCAAATTGAAAAAGAGCCTCTATGGATTGAAACAAGCTCCAAGGCAATGATATTTGAAGTTTGAATCTGTCATAGAAGAACAAGGGTACAAGAAAACTTCTTCAGACCACTGTGTATTCTTCCAGAAGTTCTCTGGTGATGATTTTATTATTTTATTGCTTTATGTGGATGATATGCTTATTGTTGGCAAGAATAAATCCAGAATTGCAGTCCTTAAGAAGCAGTTGAGCAAATCGTTTGCGATGAAGGACTTGGGGACATCAAAGAAAATCTTGGGCATTCAAATCCACCGACACAGAGATAGAATGAAGTTATTTTTGTCCCAAAAGCAATACATTGAGAAGGTACTCAAGAGGTTCAATATGACAGATGCAAAAGTGGTTAGTACTCCTCTTGCTAAACACTTCAAATTGAGTATTAGTCAGAGTCCATCTACTGATGAAGAGAAAAAAGAAGATGTCTCTTATTTCTTACTCTTCTGCCGTTGGTAGCTTGATGTATGCTATGCACTAGACCAGATATTGCACATACCGTTGGTACTGTTAGTAGATTCCTTTCTAATCCTGGAAAAGAAGATTGGGATGCCGTAAAATGGATATTAAGGTATTTGAAAAGTACTGTAGATTTGAAGCTGTGCTTTGGCAATGGCAAGCCTGAACTTGTTTGTTACACAGACTCTGATTTAGGAGGCAATCTTGATAATTAAAGATCCACTTCCAGTTATTTGATCACTTTTGTAGGGGGAGCTATTTCTTGACAATCTGGATTACAGAAGTGCATAGCTCTATCCACCACAGAAGCCGAATATATTGTTGTTATAGAAGGTGCCAAAGAACTATTATGGATGAAAGAGTTTATTAATGATCTTGGCTTTGAGCAACCAAGGTAAATCTTATTTTGTGATAATCAAAGTGTTATCTGTCATGCCAAGTACTCCACTTTTCATTCTAAGACCACACATATAAATAGAAAGTATCATTAGATAAGAATGGCCGTGGAAGAGAAATTATTTGAAGTTGAGAAGATACACGCTGATGAAAATCCTTCGGATATGCTGACAAAGGCGGTGGTTGCAGATAAACATGAATTTTGTAGAAAATTGGCAGGCCTGAAGCCTGTCCGTAGTTCCTCTATTTGAAGACACATTTGGCCCCTTGCCTGAGGGGGAGTTTGTTGGGCACATATCCATGTTGTCCAGCCAAAGGTCCAATGGTCTAATCCTATTCTCTTTTGGTGTCCATTTCTATTTGGAATTGGATTCGGTTTATTCCTAATTTGAGTGGGTTTTGGCTTTAAGAGAAAGCACCACTCATAATCTATAAATAGGACAACCTTGGAGAATTATTCTATGCTCATTGATACAAGTCTTTGAAAGACTTAAACACATAAGAGTAGTTGTTGAGAGAGCTTTCGTCAAGAGAGAAGAGAGAAGAAAAATATTTGTTTTGCTGCAGATTTTTATTCTGACCAGCCAATATCCAAATTACGTTTTCTGATTCGTTAACCGTTGGATCGGGCTGAAATTTTTACTGAGTGTTCATAACATCTTGGTCTTGGATTTGAACGGTGAAGATCAGATTTGTAGGCTCGCATCATCTGATTTAGAGCCTCGAACAACAACTTCGTTTTTATGGATTCTCCTCTTTCTTCAATTGATTTGTTGTTGCTCTTGTTGTTCCGTGTTTGGCACTTGTTGTGTAGCCAATTTGGAGAACTTTTGTAACCCTCTTATTGTTATAGTGGAGTTTTTTGGATCTTTGTGATCCCGTAATTTTTACCTTCGATTTGAAGGGTTTTCCATATTAAAATTTAGTGTTCTTTATTTTCTTTATTTTCAGGTTTGCCTCTTCCTCGACATAACAATACTAATAGTAAGATAACCAAAAACATTAAATTTATCACTTTAGTGATGCTATCACACAAGTACTTTGATTGGACTATAAACTGAGCATTTAACAGCTAGGTTATAGCTTTCCCCAATTACGTGTGGGCACAAAAGAAACATGTCAAGAATAAACTACATTAATAAGTGCCCCTAGCCACGTATGCCCATAGGAGGGGTCCGCGAATTCCCCGCGCTTCGCCTATTGAACTCCTCCTCTTTTTATAGCCCAATTCACAAACTAGTAGTATACCCAAAGACCCCCTCAACCTATTTTTCAATGCATGGCTAGTCCTAATTTTGACCTTAACAACCAACCCTTTCTCTTTGTGCAAATTTCATCAAACACATCACAAAATGTGGAGCAATCATTGTCCTAGTAATAGTGCTGCTATATCAAACAGGTCAGAACAGGGGAGGCATTCTGTTTATAGAGGAATTCGCAAGAGGAACGGGAAATGGGTATCAGAAATACGTGAACCGCGGAAAACTACAAGAATATGGCTAGGCACGTATCCAACACCAGAGATGGCAGCTGCAGCATATGATGTTGCAGCTTTGGCATTAAAAGGTCATGATACGCCGTTGAACTTCCCGGGCTCAATGTGTTCATATACTATGCCAGCTTCGCTAACAGCAGCAGACATACGCGCGGCAGCTGCAAATGCTGCTGCTGTTAGAGCGCCACAACTGGAACGCGAAGAAGCGCGGCATCAGGCAGAGTGCCAACCTGAAGTTGGAGATGGAGCAATGGGACAAGAGTTTTTTGATGAAGAGGAAGTGTTTGGTATGCCAAGATTGTTAGTTGACATGGCGGAGGCAATGCTTGTGAGCCTTCCTAGGATGAAGACGACTCCTTACGATGAGTTGCCTGAATATTCTGATGCATCATATACTCTCTGGAGTTACCCTTAATTATCAATAATCAAACATGTAACATGCATTAGCTTAAAAAAAGGTATCAATAATCAAGGCACTCTCTTGGTGTGCCATGTACATCAGTTGAATAGTGTGACCACTAAAATTATATAGGTGCGGTTGTGTCATGGGCTCAAGTTGTAGGTGAGACCAGAACTTGTCTCACTCTCATTTTCTTGTATTCCTAATATTATTCGGATGGAGCCTGTTGGAGTGAAATAGTGCAACTAGTTGCCGTTGAGTCTGGTCTTTTCTTGTTGTTTTCACCATATGCAGAAGCTGGTTTTATTGTATATTTTCTCTTCCATTTAGGATATTATAACAAGCCTATTTTTTTACCCTGATTATGAGAACCAGATATGGGGCCAGGGCTTGTGTTGAAGGAATGAAGGCTGCCCTATGTGTTACTACTAATTAGTATTCACAGTCAGATTGCCGAAGCTTACACCTCTCTGTAAAGGCTCTTCTTGAAGTGCATGATGATGAAGTGCCTAAGCTATAATAATGAAGTGCATGTTTGAGACTTATTGCTATTGTTCGTAGTACACCATTTAACCATTTTTAATTCTAATCAAGGAGAAGGGAGCTTGAAGCAACGGTAAAGTTGTCTCCGTGTGACCTACTGGTCACATGTTCGAGCCGTGGAAGCAACACTACTGCTTGCACTAGGGTAAGCTGTCTACATGGGGTTTAGAGCAGCCCTTCCTCGGACCCTACATACGTTGTGTATCACACTGACTTTTTAATTCTAATCAACGAACAATAGTTGGGAATAGGAATAGAACCCAGAAAGTACAGACCTGAAACAAGATTATATATCAGGAATAATGGTTCTAAATCTAGAGGTTCAATTAAAAGGCTTTTTGTCTCCCTTTGGTTTCTACCCTCATCCCTGGGTGACAAGACGGAAAATAATTTCAACATAATCAGACGTATTACTATTTGATACCTAGGAATTGTCCAATTGCTCAGAAAAGTTCCTAGGACAATCATGTGTTGCACGTTGTCATAGTGTTTAGTGTGTGTCTCTTTCTTTTGTGTTCGTTTTTAGATGCACTCGATTATTTTCCCTTTTGCTAAGAGCTTGAACAACTTCATTCTTTGCGATTTTATTAAACCCTAACAAAAAGGTTAGAGTGGGCAATAGGTAATACCCTGTCATCCTTAATTAGAAATTTCGGACTTAAATTTCGAAAATAAAATTCTGTCATAGGGTGAGACTACTTATTAAATAGGACTTTCCGTCACGAATCCAGATTAATCAAGCTTCAAAGCGAGTACTAAACAAGACAAATGAAAGACACGGGGCTTCTAATTTAACGAGGCTAATTTCTTCTTAAAGTACACCCATGATGAATGGTTGCAGCGATTTGGTAGGGACAAAGTCTCGGGTTCAATGCACATCGTGATAAATGTTGGATCAATTGAAAACTAATTACTGTACTATAAACTAAAAAAGAAATCCGTTAGAATTAGAAATGACACACATATTTGACTAGTAGTATTGTGGTTCATATCTCTGATTAAATTCTGTTATAGTATCTAAGCAACCATCATTATGAAGAGGTGGATTGGACCATAACATTGTTCTTTCTTCTGTAATAGGTTGAGACAAGACAACATAATCAACTTTCCATTTCCTAGTTATGTTATAGGCGAGAGATACTTTGGCCTACCTCTAATACAAAATCTAAGAAAGATACTTAGCCTGTCCCATTTATCGAGATTAGTGATTTCAAATTATCAGCTTTATCATTATGTGCAAGACTGCTTCCAAGTGGAGAGTGACAAATGGTCGAAGTCTATAAAACTGAAATCGCAACGTGCTCCAATGTCTATGCTATATTTATCGAACAAGCGAATAGTCAACCAACTAGATTAATTACCTTGAGTCTCCACTGAGTTATTGAATGATGAGCCTAGTTAAGCTTTGGTCATGACAATTATATTATTGGTAGCTGTTACAGAGTGTTGCTACAGTGTATAGAATGGTTTAATTAAATACAGTAAGTATGATAGTTGGAAGTTTTATGATATATGGGCATAACTCTTGTAGCTAATTGATTGAGAGAGCGAGAGAGTACAAGTCTTGATAAATACATCAAGGAATCCACTTTAGTATCGAACAGAATTGTAATCATCCACCCGTTTGTCTATAGAATTTTTTTTTTCCAACTTTTTTTTCAAAAACGAGTTTGTCCATGAAATTTTATAAGTTTTTAATTTTTTTTTTTAAATAAATTTTTCAAAAGACCACTTTTTCAAACTGCAATATTTTTAAGTGAAATGTCTGTCCAAACAAAATTTCAAATTCCAATTACCATTTTTCAACTTAACTTCAAAAACTACTTTTTTCCCAAAATTATAATTTTTATGTCCAAACGCCTACTTAATTTACACAGTTTGGAATGGAATTTTGATAAATCCACATCTATTTTTCCTATCAGTTATTATGTCTATAGTCCAGAACAAATATTATGAGAGTAATATATTTCTTATGTAATACTACAACAACAACAACAACCCAGTATAATCCTACAAGTGGGGTCTGGGGAGGGTAATATGTACGCAGATCTTACCTCTACCTCGAAGGGTAGAGAGACTGTTTCCAGGAGACCATCGGCTCAAAAAAGCAATAGGAGATGATATATTAGTACCATAAAAATGCGTAATAAAAATAACAACAATATATAAGAGATATGAAATACAGAATACGAAATACGAAATACGAAATAGATGGCTGGTATAGTACAACTAGAAGGTAAAGCCCTGCATCAATAGACGACCAATGACATTCCTAGTCTAACTCCTAACTGGATAGTCTCACTCTATTGTGCTGTAGAAATATTCACACTCTCCCCTAACCTACAACCTTAATGCTCGACCTCCATAATTCCCTATCAAGGGCCATGTCCTCAGTAATCCTAAGTCGCGCCATGTCCTGTCTGATCACCTCTCCCCAATACTTCTTAGGTCTTCCTCTACCTCTCCACGTGCCCACTACAGCCAGTCGCTCACACCTCCTCACCGGTGCATCAGTGCTCCTCCTCTGAATGTGCCCGAACCATCTGAGTCTTACTTCCCGCATCTTGTCCTCCATGGGGGCCACACCCACCTTCTCTCGAATATCTTCATTCCTAATCTTATCCATCCTTGTATGCCCGCACATCCATTCTTATGTAATACTATCATTTTTAATTTATATTGTACTAGAAGTAACTCTTAGTGGGCGTTAGGACATAAGAATTGTAAAATTTCTGAAAAAGTAAAAAAAAAATTAAAGTAAACATGGTATTTGAAAATTAGAGTTATGTTTGGACATGAATATAATTTTAATTTGGGCTATTTTTGAATTTTTGAGAGTGATCTGAAGTGAAAATTTGGAAAAATAGGTTTTTGGAGTTTTTCAAATTTTCAAATTTTTTTGAAATTCATCTCCAAGTGAAAATGGAAAATTTCATGCCCAAACACTAATTTTGAAAACAATAATCTTTTTTATGGCCAAACCGGCCTTAAAGACATAGCTAGAAGAGAAAGAGACATAGCTATGTATATACCGATCGAAATGTAGCCTAGTTAAAAACTTTTATTGGTACGCTTCAAACTCTCAAAAAGTACTTGCTTCTTTTTCTTTCATTTATCCTTGTTTACGGCACTATCCTTTCCCATATGAATAAGACCATAATTTACTCGAAAATATATATCAAAACCTGTTGAAAAAAAAATATCAAGTACTATTAACAAAATGTTTACATCTTATAAATGAGTGCATCAATTAGTTCTTTTTCTTTTTAAAGCTTAAAGTATTTAGCATAGAAATTTTCATTTTTTTTCGCAACTTTGCTTATTTCACTTAAACTTATTTTAGTTTAATTTGGACTATGGACACATCCGCTTATTTTAAGTGCGATCATTTAAACTATCTATATTATGTAAAATTTCATCTATAAGAGTTTCAAGTGTTTGATTTAAGATATATGTATAACACGTTATTATATGTGTACTATGAATATATACTATTGAGTGATATAACATGATGTTTAAAAATAATACTCCAGTCAACAAACTATAGATAATGAAAGGAACTCTACCAAATTCCGTACGGCTAATAAGTCAATGAAATGGACATTAGAAGAAAAATAGGAAAGTGAGAAGCAGAGGGACCAAAAAAGATGTTGGACCTGAGGCCTGAAAATAATAGCAGCAGCTAGCACATGGTGCACACGTTTCCGTGGGCAAACCATAGGAAAATTGGCCCTTAGCTTCTTTCAGCTGTCAATAATAATATTAGAAATTTTGGGGTTTGAAAGTGTGGAAGTTGGCTAAACCGTCAATCCTGTGTGCTGGAACTCAGTGATTGGTCACCAACTGATGACCTCATTTTCAAAAGGTAATTTTGTCGCTTGTTCTATTTAAGATTAGATTTCGTTTGGACTCGATTGTTTGAGTGGCTGTTCGTGCCACTTATTATACTCAGAAAATGCCTTATGGGTTCAAATTTTGAACTTTTTGAGTTCTAATATTGGATCCTCCCCTCTCTATTTCTAACATCAATTTCCCTTTATTTTAGATCGTTTTGTTTGTATGATAAACATTTTGTTATTGTGTTGAGTTACATATTTTTTTGAATAATGCTTAAAGCGTATGAAATATAACTACTTTATACAGGTTTTACTTTATGTTATACGTACTACTAATATATTATTGTTTTAATATATTTTTGTCTCGCGAGGTAAAGAATTTTTTTTATCACAATTTTCTTAGTATTTTTAAATTTTTTAAATTTATTAATTATTCTGACTTATACAATACTCTCTCCGGTTCACAACAAGTGATTAATTAGTGGGTTTAACAAGACATATAACTTTATACTATATTAACAAGATTTAGATTCCCTAGAGAATATTCTAGTGAATATTCTTCTCTGTTGAACTATCTAGGGTTTTGTGGCCTATGTACCCTAGGAAAAGATGTAGTTCTAGACGCCGTGGAGGGGGGGGGGGGACATTTTTT